TTGTGGGTGGGGTAGGTGAAACACCCACACTTGCCCCCACCCTCATTTGCCCCACTCTGGGCCCATGAGCAAGGCCCTTAACCCCCACCATGTGCTCCCTAAACAGGTCTCTCTTGAAAATGACTTCTCGTGGCTCAATGAGACTAACCTGGATAAATAAAGGCTAAATGAAAAAAAAAAAAAAAAGTGAAAAAAAAATATATACGCGAAACAGTGATAATGTAAAATAATACAGTGTATAAAACAGCAGCCTGAACATGAGTCTGTAGTGAGCAAATGGTTATGAATACAGAAGCTTAAAGGCAAGAAATCAGCAGCATGGATAAAGTGACATATCACCAATTAAAGTGTCATTACAGTGGTTATTCTGGTTAGGGATTTATGAGTCTATGTAAATGGTAAATGGACTGTACTTATATAGCGATTTACCCATTCATACAGCACTCTGCTAGATCTCTACAAAGCTAACTGAACAAATCATTCTAAAGAGACTAATCACTGTGTATCAGTTGCCAGAGTTACAACATTTTTGTGTGCAATCTCATGCAAAATGGCAAGGTGTTGCAGAGTATGTGTTGTGAATGACTCTCAGCTACCACATCAAATTTAAGCACAGTACGTTTTTTTTCATTCAACCTTTATTTATACAGGTTAGTTTCATCGAGCCACGAGGACTCATTTACAAGAGAGACCTGTATTTACAGTGACGTTCTGGTGCAACGCCATATTCTAAGTTTTCAAAGACTGTTTTTGGATGTGCCAGTGCAGAAGACACTGTACATTTTAGTGATTGCATCATAGTGAATAATGCTTGGTAAAACCTTGAAAACCATCATAAATTACTGACAAGAGTCCACTGCAGTTGTGACACTGATAGAGTTATCGCCATTTTTGTGGTGCCTAATTTCAAGTGCATGTGGTGGCCATCTTGAATTGGACTGACTCTAAAAGTTAAGCAGCTGTGGGTTTAATGTCTAATGAAAATCTTCCCTAAGTTTTGTTAAAATCCACATAGTGGGTTGGATGGTTTTAGAAAGAAACCATGGCGTGGCTACACGTTGGGGGGTCCAAACGCTGAAACATAATTCTTGCTGTTTTCCCAGAGGGAGTTTGGCGTCGACTGCAAACTGAAGGAGCGGATCGAGGAGAACGGCTACAACACGTACGCGTCCGCCGAGTGGAAGAACAAGAAGCGGCAGATGTTTATGGGTCTGAACGTCCACGGCAGGCCGATGAGAGGAAAGAAAACCCGCAGGAAGAACACCGCCACCCACTTCCTCCCAATTATGGTGTGAACTGGAGAGCCCACCTGGAGTGGGAGCAGCCACCTACAGCACTGGACAGAGAGGATTTCAACACTTCAAGAAAAAAACATGAATTAGGAAATCTCTCATTTTGGAAACAAAATATAAGGCACTAACACTGTTACAAGTGGTCTCTGAGATGGAGATGATGTATTTCACTGGGTGAAAGAAGACGATCTGTGTTTTGATTGGCACCAGCTGCAGGGTAATTGATGTGCCAAACAGTTTAAAGCTGGAGTCTGTGGGCGATGCAGACAACACTAAAGATGCTATCCCAGTTAGATGGATCTATGTGTTACTTATATTCCAAATATTCCAGTGAGACATTTATCAAAGGGGTGAGACGGACTGAAGGGAAGAATCTGTTCGGTCATCACGACTGCATGAAATATTAGAAGATGAAGCACATTTAAATTAACACTTTGATACTTAACCACTGTGTCTTGACTGAACTGTAATGATTTATTTATTTTTGTGAGATATTTAACTGGAAGGAACACTAGCATTCCTTCGCATTCTACTTTTTATAGAAACTCTGTTGTGTAAAAACAAAAAAAAAGTAAAATAAAATCACATTTTCCTCCTCTTCAGTCGAGTTTATTCTTTCACACAGAGAAGTGCAGGAGGTCTGGATTTTACTAAAAAAAAAAAAAAAAAAGGAAAGTTTGTTTTTTCGCCTGGCAAACGTTCGGGTCACGGCAGGTCTATTCTTATCTGGGAGGGACAAATAGCAACCATTAATGCCTGGCCAGTTATTCCATGTGGGAACCATTCCCCTAATGATTAGCTCCCAAACAAACAGGAAGCAAAACCACAACAAAACAGGAGGGAGGCAACTTACCCAGCATGACCTGTAGATGCTGATATCATTTCCTAATATCAGCCCATCCCTGCGGGAGCTGCAGCGTTCTCTGATCACAGGACTGATTTCTTTGTAAAGAAAGCCCCAACTGATAAAGCTGAATGAAAACAACATGCATTAATTCAAGATGGCCACTACTGCCCCAGTGTTAATGCTCGCAGTAGCCGCTCTTGGCTGCTGCCCCATAATCTTTACCTCATTTTCTGTAATTTTGAGTAAGTTAAAGGCATTTTTTTGTACTGGCTAATGTTGATTAACTTGGGTGGCCATCTTGACTCCAAAGTTTAACTAGAGAAATTGCATTTCCTGCAAAAATGCAGTGTGAATGCATATTGCTGAAGAATTTCCAGAAAACAACTGAATAGTAGCTAAAGAGACATATTGAAGCTTAAATTTCCAGAAGCAAGTAGAGACGCATTCTTGCTGAATTAGGCTGAATAAACTTGAATTGTTTGCAAGAAATGTGGAATTAGCTGGAAAAGCTTAAATTAGCATAAAACATGCAGCTAAATTGTAGCTGATATTGTGGAAATAGCTGAAAATTCCAGAAATAGACTGAACAGAGCAGAACAAACTGAAATTAGCAGAAATAAGTTTGAAAAAGTACAATAATGGTGTAGTTAGCATAAAAAAAGCTGAAAGGAGCACAATACGGATGTAAAACAGCTGAAATTAGCTGTTTTTTTTTTTGTAGAAGGAGGCTTAAATTACCAGAAGGAAGTGGAGAGAGCCCAGTTGTGACCAATTAGACTTAAAGAAGAAGAAAATAGCACAAAATGTGGAAAATTCCTGATAAAAGCGGAAATTGGCCCAAAACAGCTGAATAGTAGCTAAAACAAGCAGAAAGAAGCTTAAATGACCAGAAGCAAGTAGAGAGAGCACACTGTTGCTGAATTAGGCTGTAAAACATTTAAATGATTGTAAAAAATGTGGAGTTAGCAGAAAAAGTTGAAATTAGCATAAAAGCAGCTAAATAGTAGCTAAAATCGCAGAATTAGCTGAAACGCAGAAATTAGCTGAAAGGAGCCGAACAAGTTGAAATTAGCAGGAAGAAGTTAGAAGAAGAACAAAAATGTTGAAGTTAACTGAATAAAGCTGAAAGGATTACAAAACAGCTGAAAAAACATATGAAATTAGCTGAAAGTAGCTGAATTATTTAAAAAAAAAAATTGCACAAGGAAGCTGAAAGAAGCTAAACCGGATCTAAATGTGAAAGGAGCAGTAAAAGGTTGGAAACAGATCAAAAGTTATGAAGGATGTAATATGAGCACAATTCATTTTCAGTGAGGAAAAAAAATGGCAGAAAAGGCTAATTATTTCAAAAAGCTAAAGTTGCGACAGTACCAAAAGTCATAGCAGGGTTCTCCTGAAAGAGGTGAACGTTTTGATATATGAATTGTTGAAATAGCACACAAATGTGGAACGAGTTAGTTGCTGAAAAACGTTCGGAATAGGGATAGTAGACGGAATATAAAATATAAACAGGATCACAATAGTGTGAATGCTTACAATCAGTTATAAAGGAACATCTAATTGTTGCGTTCTAAGAGGTTGGTTCATTAAAATCAGTCCAACTGGTCCAACAATTAGCTCAGTAGCTGTAAAGCTTAGTTTTAGCTGTTTTTGTGTTCAGTAAGGTCAGTTGGCTGTGGCAGTCATCTTGAATCCAAAATGTAATCAGCTGAAGACATAAACGCAGTATTTTCTTACAAGTTTCGTTAAAATATATCCACTGGATCATATTTTGCTAACATACACTGATGACTCCAAATAAGTGGTATAAATAATAAAAAATGCAATCTCTTAGCACTCAAAATATTTGCTGGGAATGACTCTCAGCTACTCGCACAACAAGTTTGAGCTCAATATTTGTACAACTGGCTGAGTTATACCCATTTGTGTGTTTAGCCTATGGTTAGCTGTGGCAGCCATGTTTAGTGCAAATGACTGAAAAAGTGAATCAGTTGCAGACGTTCATCAAATTATGACTTCACGAGAGTTTCATTTAAATCTTTCCGCTGATTTATGAGACATTTTGCTAAAGGTAAAGACAAACTAACACACACACACAGACACAGAGAGGCGAGTAAAAACATCATCGCTCAACCTTTGCCTTGGGAGAAAACATTAACGGCTTTGTCGTTGTGAAACTGGGTTTACGGCTTTTTAGAGGAGGCTGAATGTGCGTGAGGACAGAAACTGTGAATGAGTTTGAAACAGAGACATGACCTGCGTCTGACCACCTACTTCCTTCAGGAATCATTTACAAACACACTAATCAATGACAGCTGTCTTGATGGCAGATGAAAAGAGCGCGGGGGGAAACATTAACACCACAGGCTTCCGGGCCTCGGGTTCTCTCATCCTGCCTTCAGAGCATCCATCTCTGGACACGCAGTAAAACTAGAGAGCAGAGGAGGACAGAAGGAAGCGAGATGAACAGAACCACACCACGGCTGTGTTCTTCAGACTCAGGGTTGTCCAAGCTGTCCCGTGACGTCAGTTTGGCAGTGGAGGCCATCTTGAATTGGATTAGTGAATTAGTTGTAGATGTACATCTAATAATTCCTGTCTGACAGTTTCATTCAAATGTGCCACGTGGTTCAGACGGTGACAGGCGCATGAACACATGCACACGCCTAGACACGGGCAAAAACAGCTTCAACTTTCAATAAATGCAGCGATAAAAACAATATTTAAGATATCCAGTTATAAAAAAAAAATGTAATCTCTAAGAAGTTACCATCCATGGTATCATTCATGAAAGTCAGTTTCGTTTCAACAAAGTGTCAAAACTTACCGTATTTTTTGGACTATAAGGCGTACCGGATTATAAGGCGCATTAAGAGAAACAAAATAGTCAGACAAGTCAAACTTTATTCAACTCATTCACAATAACCACGTATAATCGGTTCAAGGTCAGTAAGTACAACCAGAGTTAATACATAAGGTGCACCTGATTATCAGGGCCAGATTACCAACCCCAGGGGGCCCCTGGGCACTGAAGCATATATATATATATATATATATATATATATATATATATATATATATATACTGTATATCCTGCAGTTTTCCAGGCAAAAGGAGCCCCAACTAAGTACTGAGTGCTGTACATGCTCATACTTTTCAGTTGGCCAACATTTCTAAAGATCTTTTTTTTTAAATTGGTCTTAAGTAATATTCTAATTCTCTGAGATACTGAATTTGGGGTTTTCATTAGTTGTCGGTTATAATCATCAACATTAAAATAAATACACATTTGAAATATGTCAGTCTGTGTGTAATGAATGACTATAATATACAAGTTCCACTTTTTGAATGGAATTACTGAAATAAATCAACTTTTTCATGATATTCTAATTTTATGACCAGCAGCTGTTTTATCTGCACAATCTTAACAGTTTATATTGTTGGTCTACTCACGTCACAGAAAGTACAATGGCTCTTACCTTTAGTTCTTCGTCAAGGTCTTTTTCTTTTGTGTAGGCAGGATAGGAAGTATATGAAATTCACAGAGTCTGTCGACTGTTTGTTTACAAAATGAAATGAGCACACATGCAGTATTTTGGGTGGTTTCTTCAAATTCAGATTTTTCAGCCACATTCTTCTTAATTCCTCATCTGTAGGAGATGGAAACCATACCACTTCACAGAAACAATCTTTTTTTTTTTTGTTTTGGGTCTGTGTTCAAGCTCTGTTTGCTGTAGCCTTAACTTGGTCTGGTTGTTCGTGCAGCCGTGAACCCCGGGAGGACATTTTAATAAACTTCACGTTTAAACAAAAACAACGTTTGCTTTGATAAACTAAATGCAAATAACTTATAAAAAAAAAAAACACCACAGTATATTCTATTACTGATACTTCCCGTGTCGGACCGGAAGTTTATAGGTGAAACGTTTCTACAGTAAAAGCATCAGGAATAAGGTGAGATATGAGAATTTTATCGGGTTTTGTGTTTTATTTTGAAAACCGGAAATTCACTCTGCTCCATCGCCCCCATTATTTTGAACCGCTTCACCACCGTTCCTCACAGTGCTGTGTTGCACGGATGATGGGAGTCAGAGAGCCGGTGTTTGTTGCAGAAAAAAAAAAATTCTGCCGGCAGAGGGCCCCTCTGTGCCAAGGGCCCCTGGGCACGTGCCCAAATTGTCTGTATGGTAGATCCGGCCTTGCTGATTATAAGACTCACTGTCGATTTTTAAGAAAATTAAAATAATTTACAGTAAGTGCGCATTATAACC